TCTATTCTATTCTATTTTCTATTCTATTCTATTTTCTATTCTATTCTATTTTCTATTCTATTTTGTTCTATTTTCTATTCTTTTCTATTTCTATATTCTATTCGATTTCTATTCTGTTCTATTTCTATATTCAATTCTATTTTCTATTCTATATTCTCTTCTATATTCTCTTCTATTTTCTATTCTATTTTGTTCTATTGTCTATTCTTTTTTATTTCTATATTCTATTCTATTCTATTTTCTATTCTATTTCTCTATTCTATTTCTCTATTCTATTCTATTTTCTATTCTATTTTGTTCTATTTTCTATTCTTTTCTATTTCTATATTCTATTCCATTTTCTATTCTGTTCTATTTCTATATTCAATTCTATTTTATATTCTATATTCTATTCTATATTCTATTCTATTTTCTATATTCTATATTCTCTTCTATATTCTCTTCTATTTTCTATTCTATTTTGTTCTATTGTCTATTCTTTTTTATTTCTCTATTCTATTCTATTTTTTATTCTATTTTGTTCTATTTTCTATTCTTTTCTATTTCTATATTCTATTCCATTTTCTATTCTGTTCTATTTCTATATTCAATTTTATTTTCTAGTCTATATTCTATTCTATATTCTATTTCTATATTGTATTTTCTATTCTTTTTTATTTCTATTTTCTATTCTATTTTCTATACTCTATTTTCTATTCCTTTCTATATTCTATTCTTTCTATTTTTTTTCTTCATAATTTTGTTTTTACATTTTTGTTCTCTTACGTAGCATTTTGAGTATACATTCACATAATTGTTATTCTTTACATTTATCATTCTTATACATTTATTTTTTCATTTAATAAGTTATAATGTACAGTTTGGATTGCTTTATTTACCATCCCTTTCTCCTGTTGTAACACCACCTTGTTTTTATTCTATTCAATTCTATTCTTTTCTATATTCTATTTATTTAATAGATTTATTTATTTAATAGATTTATAGGCCGCCCAATCCCGGAGGACTCTATATTCTATTGTATTCTATACTGTTTTTCATTCTATACTATTGTATTCTATTCTGTATTGTTTTAAGTTGGCACTCGGATTTTCAACCATTTCCTTCAACCATTAGATCAATGTTTTCCAATCTCATTTGTCTTTATAACCTTATAAACAACTTTATTTATAATTGACCTTCTACAAGCTATATATAAATTGACCCTATGCAAGCTATGCTGGNGCCGACCTTTCTGATCGACAAGCTCAGCATCTTTGCCACTAGGACACCATGTCCCTATTAACGAGATGTTTGGGGCAGGGCAAAGGGGGCGTTATGGCGGTTTGGTCCCATCCGACGGGACTCCACCGATGTTGAAAAGTCAAACCTGGTTAAGGGCCACCTCCAGCATCACGGTGAGCGACAGGTTGCTGTGGAAAAGGGGGACGCAGTCTGTGATGTAGAGGCATTCGGGGGCCCCAGCCGTCGGCCGGCGCTTTGGAGCCAGGAGAAGTCCATTCACCGCCACGTGGGGGTACCGAGCCGCATGGAGGCACATCTTGACGTACGCACGAGGCGAGATCTCCACTTCGCCCATCCTGCCGAGCAAAAAATGACTTGGTGCGATGCTGCTTGGGCCAGAAACGAGACCTCAAGAGGCCATCCTAACACCCCAACCTCTGGCCCCCAAAAGTGCTGGTCTTCCCGACCACTGACCCTATGGCTGTAGAGCAGCAGTCAGCAACCTGCGGCTCCGGAGCCGCATGTGGCTCTTTTATCCCCCCTGCTGCAGCTCCCTGTCACCAGTCGGCTCCACAATTGATAGGGTTAGGGCTTTTGGTTAAGACAGGTAGAGGGGAAAGGAAGCCGTGGTAGGAGGAGACTCTATGGTGGGGGAACCGGACTTCCGGTCGGTTCCGGGATTGAAGAAGGGGCTTCCGGTTAGTGGCCCTTTTGAGTGTTTAAGGTTGCTGACCTCTGCTGCAAACGATAGGAGCTGTAGTTGGCCCCAGCTGGATAGGACCCGGCGGCCGACTCACCTGAATTCTTCAGAGGTTCCTCTCTTCTTCCAATTCCACAGGCTCCTTGGGGTATCCAAATGGGGAAACCTGACTCTGGGGTTGCAAGGAGAACATCCAGTGATATAAAATTAAAATGTAATACATTATAATATGAGCTATATGACATATAACAAAAATGCTAAATCCAGTTCGAATATGTGGCTGACAGTGTGATGAAGATAATATAGGATTACTATAGTAAGGTAAAGGCTCCCCTCGCACATATCCGCTCGTCGTTCCCGACTCTAGGGGGCGGTGTTCATCTCCGTTTCAAAGCTGAAGAGCCAGCGCTGTCCGAAGACGTCTCCGTGGTCATGTGGACGGCATGACTCAACGCCGAAGACGCACGGAACGCTGTTCCCTTCCCACCAAAGGTGGTTCCTATATTCCTACGTGCATTTTTTACATGCTTTCGAACGGCTAGGTTGGCGGAAGCTGGGACAAGTCACGGGAGCTCGCTCCGTTACCTGACGCTAGGGATTCGAACCGCCGAATGCCAACCCTTCTGATCGACAAGCTCAGCGTCTTATCCGAGCCACCTATAATATAGCATATCATATAGTGTATACAACGTATAACATCTAGTGTATAGCGTATTGTATTAGCATAGCATAGCATAGCATAGTTAGTCCTTGACTTATAGCAATGTTGTTCTAGTTACAACAGCACTGAAAAAAAGGGCTGTGTTGCACTCTTACGACTGCTTCAGCTTTCCCACAGTCACGCGATCAAAATTCAGACCTTTGTGCAACTGGCTCATATTTGTGAGGGTCGCAGTGTTTTGCAAGAAACGTCAACGAGGAACCAGTTGTTGTGAATTGGATTAAAATGGAAAAATTGATAAGAATGGAATCACCAAAGAGGAGATGCATCGTATAATGGGAATTAGATAAACTTGATAAATGTGATAGAGATTATTAACCAGCGTTAACTGGATTAATATAAATGGAAATTGAACTTGTTCATCTGTAATAGAGAAATGTTTAGATGGAACAAGAAAGAGAGATGGAGGCAGAGATAAAGGTGAGGAGTGAG